CCATCTCCATCATCATGTCCATCATCATCTCCATCTCCATCATCTCCATCTCCATCATCATCTCCATCACATCACCACCACCGTCTCCATCCCCACCACCATCACCATGTCCATCACCATCACCATGTCCATCACCATCACTACCACCATCACCACCACCATCTCCATCATCATCTCCATCACCATGTCCATCACCATCACCACCACCGTCTCCATCCCCACCACCATCACCATGTTCATCACCATCACCATGTCCATCACCATCACCACCACCATCTCCATCATCATCTCCATCACCATGTCCATCACCATCACCACCACCGTCTCTATCTCCACCACCATCACCATGTCCATCACCATGTCCATTACCATCACCATCTCCATCTCCATCTTCATCTCCATCACCATCTCTATCACCAGTGGGAGGTGGCAGATGCAAGGTCAAATCCCTCTCCAACACCCTGAACAGGACTCTGAGCAGGTCATGTCCCCTAACTGTCACATGCAGATGGATGCCCAGTTCAGGGGGCAGGGGATGCCCAGTGGTGGGAAGCGGTGTGAGAACACAGGTGCTGGGTGCCTCCAGCACGGAGCCTGGCGTCCAGTAGGATCTCAGGACTCATGAGCACAGGGCTCCAATGTGTCCATCCCCCACGCGTGTGTGGTCACAGGAGTGTTCCAGGGGCTCTGGCCAGTTGGTCCTCTGAGCTCTTCCCAGAGTTGTCGACTGACTGCATCAGACAAGTTCCCGTTGTCATAACAACCCACTGGCTCTCTGCCGCCTGGGCTGGAGGCCCCAGAGGATGCTGCCGGCTGCTGAGACTTGCAGCCCGGGCCTGCTCACCTCCCAGCAGCCCGCGTTGCTTCTCCTGAAAGGGCTTCACAGCTCCTGGTACGGCAGCCCCTGCCTCTTGACTCATCTGTTCCAGCCACGGCCGGAGCCTCTGCTATGTGCCAAGCTCCGTGCCGGGCACGCACCTGCACCCTGGCTCCCTCCCCACCCGGCCCTGTGAAGTGGGATGGCTGTGAACTCTCCTGCTAACAGAAGCAGAGCCGCAGCCGGGCAAAGCGACTTGTCCGAAGTCCCACGGCTTAAACACAGCAGACCCGGGAGGGGAACCCCCACAGGTCAGGTACTCACCCTGTCTCCTCTCCAGCACCCCCTCAGCCCCTCCCTGACCCCACAGGTATGAAGCTGGCCCCCGTGAGCTTGGAGAGAACAGAGGCGCAGCTCTCCCCATTGCCTGCTGGGCTGGAGCTGGAAGACCTGGTCCTAAAGCAGGTTCCCGTTGTCATAACAACGGGATGCAGGACGGGCAGGGCATGCTGGATGTCCATGAACGGCTCCAAACATTACCTCACGTGCTCTCACAGCAATCCCCCAAGCCAGGACTCGCTACCCCATTCCATGGAGGAGGACCTGGGCTCGGGGGGGGTCACTGGTCAACAGCCATGGCTTGCCATAGGCCAGGTACTGCCGTCGCCTTCCTGGGGCGTCCCTCATGCCAGAGCAGAAGTTTCTATTACCATTGCTCCCCTAGGGATGAGAGCCTGGGGGTCTGAGAGTTCTCACACTTGTGTCTTCAACCAGCCCAGCCACAGGCCTTAGCTGGCTTGGGTCCCCAGCATCCACACACACGGTCTGTGCCGTCAGCGTGCGCACCCGGATTCTGTCCCAGCCTTCCTTCCTCGGGAGGGCCGTGCACTTGAGCCACGCAAACCTCCCAGGAAGCCTCCCCGGGCAAGGACTTCCCTGCGGGACTCCCTGCCGGCCACTCGTCTTTACAAGAGGCTACACCGCTATCCTATCGCACATCACGTAATTGGAGACGCCTAATGGCCCCCTGCCCTCTCCTGAGCTCTGCAGCCACCCCACCTCCCCGCTCTGCCATCACGGAACCGGGGCACTGGGGGGTCATGTGAACAAGACACCAGCGTCTAGGGAATCCAGATGCTCCTCCCATCCAACCAACTAGGCTTCCACCCATCCATCCCTACAGCCATTCATCCGTTCACATGTGCCCGTTGGTGCACTGATCCACCCTTCTCTGCCTGTATCCACGCATTCATTAGCATACACTCCTGTCTCTATCCACCCTCTCTTCCTGCGTTCTTCCATTCATCCCGGTATCTGTCATCTTACTGACGTTCAAGTACCCATCCATCTATCCTGGCCTGCAAGCACTGACCCATCCATTTAGTGGCCATGCATTTCCCCCTGCCTGTATCTGTCTATCCTGACAGGTGCTCTTGTATCCATCCGTCCTCTCTCCATCTGTCCCTCTGTTGACATCTGTCCGTTGTAGACCCTTCCATCCATTCACCTGTCTCGCCACATGCACCAGAAAGCCGTCTTCCTACCTGCCGGTCCTTTTATGTGTCCGCTCATCGATGTCTCGTTCCGCTCCTCCAGCCCTGTACCCTTGTGGGTTCTTCCACTCGTTCACCCGCCCGTCCCCGTCGATCCTGACACTCACGTCCGTCCGTCTCGGGTCCACTCATCTACCCCTCTACCTTCTACCCGTGCGTCCACACATCTGTACGCCTCTCACCGCTGTCCGTCTGCACAGCGCGGCCCACCCATGACTGCTTCTCCACCGGTGCAGAGATGGGTGCACGGGGAGAGTATGCTAGGTGAATGAATACAGAACTCCTTCACTTATTCACTCACTCACTCACTCACTCACTCACTCATTCATCCCTATAATACTGAATCAACAGAGACAGCTCTGGTCAGCTCCTCGCACCAGCTACCATGGGGGGCGGGGTGCTGCTTTGGGGCAGAAATCATTCCCTTGCCTGTGACAGGAGTTGTGCCCGGACACTGAGGCCCCGACAGGGGCAGGGCCTTGCGGCGGTAAATCAGGGGCCGAGGGGGAACCGGAACTCAAGCCTCGAGATTCGTGTCCAGACCTCTCCACAAGGCTGGTGACCGGCCCGGGGGCAGGAGGGGAACCATGAAGGGACGCGAGGGGCCATTCTAGACCCAACAGAGCGAGCTTCAGAGTCACCCACCGGTGGATTTGTCCCTGGGAACCTTTTCCTGCTTTGAGGGAGGAGCCACCCCACCCTGCCCGGTGGCCATGCCCCTGACCTCCAAACTTCAACTGGACTGAGCCTCTTCTGATCCTGCTGCTCTCCCAGTTTACCCCCAGGCCCTGACCCCTCATGCACCTTGACACTCCACTACCCTCACCTGTTGGGCTCTGACTCGGCCCTCGGCCCTCACCTCCCCTGATTTGAGGAATTGTTTGTGGCGCTGTCTACAGCAGCGGGGGCCCTCCTCCAGAGTGGGTACGATGCCCGAAAATGCTGATGCTGGGCCTGGCGCACAGTAGGTGGGCCATGAACAGTGACTGCTGTGGGCCTGACACCCTGCCTGAGTCCCTGCAAGTGAATGGGAAATCATCTAACCAACTGCTTCTGACTCACTTCCCTCCCCGACCTGGAAATGTCTCACATCCCGCCTCAGCCCCTGGAACGTCCATTGCGGGCTGGCAGCCCTCACCCTCCTGGCTCGGCATCCCAGGTGTGAACATCCCAGGTGTGAACGGCCCCAGGTTCTGAGCAGAAGCGGAGCAGGGAGCCGGCCGGGCTATAAATAGGAGAGGGAAGCTGGGGAGGGTCCTCCTGAGCCCGGCAGCCGGCGCCCAGCACCCATGCGCCGAGCAGCCGGGTGGAAGCCGCATCTGCCACTGTGCTCGCCTTGCGGTGCCGCCCTGATTATAGTGAGAGTCGGGGAAATTAAGGGTTTTCGGGGACGCTGCCAGGGCCCTGGTGCTGCCTCCCCGCCTTGCGCGTCACGGACGCCAGGCAGAGCCGCCTCCATCGGCCCGGCCCCAGCCAGCCAGCGGGCCTGCCTGGGCAGCGCCCCGCGTCCTAGGGGCTTTCTCCCGCAGCCTTCACCGACCCAGGGCACAGACAAGGGTCTCTGCAGTGACCGGCGGGTGGTGGAACTGGGGCCCAGCGAAGGGAAGCGACCTGCCCTCTGCGCGCTTCCTTTCGGAGGGCACTGGCACCTCCGAAGGAGCCAGGCCCAGGGAGCCCCTGCCCCACAGAGAGCCCGGAGGCCTTGACCCCTGCTGTGCACGGGGCGGGGGGCATGGGGGCGCCCCGGGCCCTGCACGTTTCAGATGCTCTCACTGGGCCACCCCCACTCACTCCTGGGGGCCTGCTCGGTCCCAGCCGCCCGCTCGGGAGACTCCACGAGGTCGCCCACGCTGTTTCTGCCCCCGAGGCCCCACACTGGGGACGGGGTGGGGCACAGACGAGGAAGGAAACACCTCTACACCCGGCAGGAAGCGGAAGCGCTAGGGCAGAAATTCTCAGCCAACGCGCGGGGGCTCAGCGAGGGTGGGAGCGCCGGCAGAGCGGCCCCGGCCTCAGTTTCCTCGCCTGTAACTGAGGGCAATGGTAGCACCTGCCCCGCAGTCCTGAGCGGGACTAAGGGCGCCCGGGGCTGGCGCGCGCCCACGCGCCGCAGCCGCTCGGGGAACCAGCCTGGGGTCCAGCCTCCTTCCGGCTCCCAGGCCTCCGGGGCGGCCTCCGCGAGCCGGGTCTGGCCCTGCCCCCTGACGCAGGGCGGGACGAGGCCTGCCTGCACCCGGCTACCTGTCCCCTGTCCCCGCCCCAGCCGGGACGCGCGGGTCTGGGGGGCGATCGCCCGCACACGCGACCCAGGCGCTCGGGCCGGCGTGGGGGGGGGATGGGGAGGGGCAGAGCCGCGCGCGGAGGCCGAGTCCCCGCCCCGCCCCGAGACCGCCCGGCTCCCGGGAGTGCCCGGCGCGCCCCCCCACCCCCCACCTACCCGGATCCCGGCCAGCGAAGCCCCCGGCGCCCCGCTCCCGGAGGGGGCGCCGCGGGCAGCCGCTCCCCGCCCCCCACCCCTCCGCCCCGGCCGGAGCGGGGGTGCCGTGCAGAGCCCGCCCCGGGCGTGGGAGGCGCCCGCCCCGCCCCCCGCCGGTGCTCGCGCCGCGCCCTCCCCGCTCGCAGGTACTCACCGCCCGGCGGAGCCGGCCCGGCCGGCGGCCGCCCGTCCACATGGCCCCGGGGCAGCCGCGCTGCTCGCCGCCGCCGCCGCCGCCGCCGCCGCCGCCGCCGCGCTCGGGGCCCGCCGCCCTCCCCACCGAGGCCGAGCGCGCCGGGAGCCGCGGCGCGGCCGGGGCTCCCCCACCCCCCGGCTTCCCGCAGGGAGCGCCCGCCCCCCGCCCCCAGCCCGGCTCCCCGCCAGTCCCGGCCCCGCGCGCGCAGCCGCGGCTGATTCAGCGGCTCCCCCCTCCCACCCCACCCCAGCCGCAACCGGCCGGGGCGCACTCGGGGGGCGCGGGGCCCGACGCCGGCCGCGGGGGTGCCGCGGGGGTGCCGCGGGGGCGCGGGGGCGCGGGAGCCGGGGCAGGAATGGCGGCGGGGCAGGGAATGAATGAACGCGTGCGGGCGAGCATGAATGGTGGAGCGCATGAATGAATGAGTGTCGTGCGTGCGCGCGGGAGGAACGAATGAATGAGGAACTAATGCAAGAGGGGGACGCCGAGGGAAGGCGTGAATGGGCCCTTAAGGCTGGGAAACCCGCGGTGCTGACCTGTCCGACCCATTCATCCATTCATTCCCTCAATCCCCCCCAGCACTTATTGGACACCTACTGTATACCAGCCCTGCTCTAGGGCCTGGGATTACCTGAAGGAAGGGAGCCAAATTCCTGAGCTCCTGGAGTTCACACTTTACAAACGGAGAACCGGCTGCGGGCGGCGCGGCGGCTGCGGAGGCTGCGGGGGGAGTTGGGGGTGGGTTGGGGGCGGGAAAGGGCGCGAAAGACGTGACCCGTGACCGGCCCAGCTCGGCCACACCCCCCAGCCTCCCCGCCTCGGTGGCTCCCTCGGGTCGCCGCAGGCACCTGTCTCGCCTTCCTACTCAGGGGATCCCGGCACCTAGGCCCGGGTAGCCGGGTAGCCGAGGGATGGAGGAGGGGCTTCCTTACTTCTGAGCTCTCCGAGCAGAGAAGCAGCCTCTGAAAGGTCAGCGTGGCTCCGGGAACCTCCAGGCGGAGCACAGCCCTCCCCGCCCCCAGCAGCGCCCCAGACTGGCCCAGGCCCCCCCCGGGACGTCCCCCGAGACACTGAGCAGGGTGATTCTCATGGCCCAAGCCAGCCTGGCGCTTCCTCAAGAAGCGGCCTCGCTCTGAGGCCGTCAGAGCTCCCTGGGGATACCTGGCCAGCCCAGCAGCCCAGCAGCCCAGCAGCCCAGCCGTGCCCAGCGTATGCACCCCGGAAAATGCACGAGGGAGGGCAGAAAGGATGCTGTGTGCTGGAAAGAGAGGTCACAAAGCACATGCACTTTACTCCTGTCCTCACTCAGGACCTAGGGGCTCATCGCTTACACACGTTGATACCGTTCCCAAGCCCGTGGCAGATGAAAAGATGCTGCCAATGAGTATTTGATTGTGGCAAAAGATACAGAACATAATATTTACCTTTGTAACCGTCTTTACGTGTACAGTGCAGTGGCATTTACACAATCTGTCGTGCAATCATCACCACCATCCATCTCATATTTTATATGGCGTGGGCTTTGCATTCTCCGCCGCTCCGTTAATGAGGGGAGCAGGTTGCTACATTCGGGCACAGGACAGGGCTGAGAATGGGGGCTGGGAGCAAGGGAAGCCAGAAAGGCCATCCGCGTCCAGGTGGATGAGGAGGAGGCAGTTTGGTGCGGGCTCTCCGGATCCCTGTGTCAGCCTCTCTGTGGGACTGGCCTCTTTGTTTGGGGCCTTGGTTTCCCCATCATGAGTCGGGGCAGGTTCTGGGGTGTCCCCTCCTTGCCCTTCTCCTGTTCTGACGCCACTGAGGCCACGCGCCGGGGTGGAGCCCAGCCTGCTGATGCCCCCACCTGCCGCCCCTGATGTCCCTGCCCTCCCAGGGCCTCAGGGGGACAACCAACAGGAATGGCGGATGTGGACGGAGTGTACGTGCTGGCTCCGCCCACGTCTTCTGCCCAGACTCTGGTCCTGTTCAGATGGTGCCAGAATGTTCGCCGTCCGCCCTGGCTCTGCCGCTGCCAAGGCTGCAGATGGCTGGGGAGGCGGAGGAGGGCAGGGAGGGGAGGGGGCGGCCCATGCCTCAGCTCAGGCAGCTTGCACACTTGAGCTTGGGCCTGCCTGGGAAGGCCCCAGGAGGGCCCCACCCCCACACTGCGCTGCCTCTGCCTCCGTCTGCACCCTGCAGGCCTCTCCTCCCTCCCACCCCCCCACCCCCCCGTTCACCACGACGGCCAGGAGAGAAGAAAGCTGCCACTGGCTGGGGGTGGGGGCTCAGTTAATCCCCGTAATGACCCTGTAGGGGAGGTGGCACTAGCCTGCTTTGGCAGATGGGGAAACTAAGGCCCAGAGAGGCAAAGTCTCTTGCCTAAGGCCACGTTAGCACATAGAGACAGAGCTGGGGTTTGAATACCCTGGTCAGTCTGGTCCGGCGGTCACCCCCATTTGTGTCTCGCCTCCCGTCAGACCCGCCTCCAGGTGTCCCTGAGAAGACCCAGGGGTGCAACTTGAGGGTCCTTGCAGGATGGGCTGGTCTGTGGAGGCCCCTGTGGCTATACAGCCAGAGCCCAGAGCACCAGCAGCATCCAGGCAGCCTTCCTGGAAGAGGTGAGATTTCTGCTGTGAATGCCCCGGGGCTCGTAGGTCCCTTGGCCACAGGGCTTCCTGCCCTCATGTGGGTCTCTGTTGGCCACCCTCCCCACCCCCACCTCTCAATCCCATTCCCTGGTTTTATTTTGTCCACGGCTCCAGTACTCTCCAGCGTCATCTGACTTCTGTATCTGTTTGTGTGTGTACGCTGATCTCCCCAGCTGGAGGGTGCGCGCCTACTCGGAGGGGGGAGGGGCGTGAACAAATGATGGAAGGAGGGAGGGCTGGAGGAGGCTGGCAAGATGCCAGGCTTCCGGTCGGGTGGCCAAGTGGACAGGGAAGGCGGCAGGCGGGGGTCACTGAGCGTGAGCTTCCCGGGGACACACTGCGCACGGGCATCTGTGTCTGGCTCCTCCCTGCCCCTTGGGTTCCTGGCTGGTCGTGCAGACGGGGTCCCGGCCTTCCTGTCCCTGCTCGGCCTCCCGCAGGCTGGAGTTGGGGCAGGTTCTCGGCACATGAGCTCCGGGAACCCACACCCCGGCAGGTGCCCTGACTCCCCCCACGCTGCCCTGCAGGACCAGGGCCCGACTTCTCCCAAGCGAGCCCCGCCCACCCTGCCTTCCCCATCCCTCTCCCGGTTCTCCTGGGAGCACTTTCATAAGAGTCCAGGATTCAGGGGCGCCCGGGGGGCTCAGCTGCTTAAGCGCCCGACTTCGGCTCAGGTCATGATCTCACTGCTCATGGGTTCGAGCCCCGCGCCGGGCTCTGCGCTGACAGCTCAGAGCCTGGAGCTGCTTCGGATTCCGTGTCTCCCTCTCTCTCTGCCCCTCCCCCGCTCACACTCTCTCTCTCTCTCTCAAAAATGTTTAAATGTTAAAAAAATTAAAAAAGAAAACAATCCGGGATTCAATGTCTGCTTCTGAGAGACAACCTAAGGCAGAAATGAAGGGACAGACACGGTCTCCATTTCACTAACAGAGAAATAGGAGTGAAGGCCACACGCCAGGGGCTCTGCACACAGCCCGGCCCCCTTCCCCGAGGCGTGGCCTGCCTCAGGGCTCTGCACGCCACCCACGGTGCTCCGCTTGGGTTGGCTCCGGGCCTCGACTTCCTGCTGTGGCCCCTGTGGCCTCTCCGTAGGCGTCCCCATGTGGGGCCAGGCGGGCGGCATAGGCTGGGCCGTGGACTTGGGCTCGAACATCGTAAAAGTATTTGTCAAATATGTATCAAAACGGAACATGGAGGATACTTCCCTAGCACGTCATAGGCAAGCCAGGTCACGAAGAGGAGGTGCTCCTGGGCACCAGGGGGCACGGGACCGTCTCGTCCCACCTGGGACACATCGCCAGTGTCCTGCTCCCCCTTCTTGGCGGCTCGTAGCCCGTAGGGAAGGGCAGCATCCGGATTCCTGCTGGGGCGGGGGACGCACGGGGCCTGGGCAAGGGAGGCCACGTGCTGTCTGTCCTGGGGCCTGGGCGTGCTAAGGGACACTGGGCAGGCGGTGGCACCAAGGTGGCCTCACCGAGGCGAAATTGCCACCGAGTGAATGACTCTGGTGCCGACAGACTCACCTGCTGAGTGTACAGGTGTTGAATCAGGCCACATCTGGGGGCCCAGGCTTCTTCGGCGGCCCGTCTGCTGGGGCCTGGTGCAGCTGGCCTTGGCGGCCAGGCTGGGGGAGCTCCTGTGTTCCTGCCAAGTTCAGGGCCTTCCTCCGGCTGCCCCAGCTGCAGCCCGGCCCCTGCACAGTGTCAATGTCCCTGCCCCCGCCCCCCACTGTATCTGGGCCTTTGCACATGCCGTCCCCTCACCCTGAGATGCCATTCCACGGGGTGTCCACCTGCGAGAGTCCTCATCACAACTCTCAAAAGTTGTCTCCTCTTGGAAGCCTTCCCAGACTGCCCCAGGCCGGCCGCCCCCCCCCCCCCCCCCCGGGCTGGTCTCCTGCCCCACCCCCTCAACGCGTCACACTGAAGGGTCGTACCGGACAAGTGTCCTTCCTTCCTCTCGAGAAGTCTCCGTGGTTGGATAGCCACCCAGGTCATTATGAGCTGCAGTGAATTTGTCCTTGGTTTTCTCCACAAAACCAAGGTAATCCCCCCCCCCCCCGCCCCGAGGCAGGGCCGTGTTGGGATGTTAGGAAGACACGGCAGCAGCACCCTGTGGCCTCCTCCTGACCGTTTCTCCCGATCGCAGGTCAGTGCTCCCCGCCCTCGCTGGCAGGCAGAGCTGGGGACCACATCCTTGAAGGGTGTCCGCTGTGCCCGCCCCTCGGGCAGCCTGCCTGTCTCACACGCGGGGGACAGTTGCATTGAAGGCCCCCCCCCCGGGGACCCTTGCACATGCTGTTCTCCAGCATCTCGTGCCTTCCAACAGGCCCCGTAGTCTTCACGGAGGTGCCCCCTCCTCCAGGAA